AGGTGGGAGGAAGTGTGACCAAGGGGGATGGCTCATAGACGCTGGGATAAAGGGCTATGGAGAGCGAGGAGAGAGGGTAGTACTGTATAGTCTCTATACGGGAGTTGAAGGGGACAAAAACAACAACGGAATGGCAAATTGCATATGGGTAATGTTTATTGGGGGGGATGTTTTAAAGGGGGAAGCACGGTGACTCAGGCATTGGGTGTAAACTAAGGTTAAGGAGTGCCTCAGGTGAAAGGGGATAATACATGACAAATGAGAAGAATGGATGATCGGGCCCAGTTGCTTGGCAAGGGGCCCCTGCCTAATGGAAGACTAGTAGCACATCTGTCGGTGGGGACGGGAACGCCGAGTGGGTAAAAGAATCCCTAATGGATTTATCTTAGGGCTGTTATAAATGCTCAAGAGCGTGGACATATATTTAATAGGGTGAGTGAAGAAGTCATGTTCTTCAGTAGGACTCAAACAGTGGATACCCCTCCAAGCCCCAGAAATGTTTACTGACCTCTGCCTGGTTCTGGATTCTTGGATTAATAATGGCAAGATAGTAAACAATAAAGGGGGTGGCCTACTAGTAAGGATAAGTGTGTACTACAGGGGGAAAGTATGCGGAGAGAAGTCCGAGGTTTGCGTCAAAAATAGCAATTGCTATCCACATACGCTCGACCAATAGGTCCCTGCAAGTCGAGTCTTTACCTTAAAAAACCATACGTGTTACAAATTCATTGAAGCTGGGTTGCAAAACAAGGGCAATGCGGGTTATAAAGTGGTAGGTAGGATTTGGACGAAAGGGGGAGGAGGGAAGGTTGAGATGGCGATAGCCGATCCGGGAATGGTGGAGAAACGAAGGGAAGAGAGCAAAGGAGGCGAGTAAGTGTGAACTCCAGGGTAGGGGCGAGAGGGATAGTCATCTGGGAGTGTGCCAGCGATCTCGTATCTTGACGTGGGATAAATCAACACTAAGTAACGTTCTCAAACGTTCGAGGTAGGATTCTTGTCCCTGTTCCCGGCCGGGAGAGGAAGGGGGAACCGCCCACGCGCCAATTGGCTGGTTGACGTGAACATTTTTTATTTATTCAGTTGCCTTTGAGGACAGCAAAACGTAAAAAAAATACAATTTTTCAAAGAAAAGATTGTTTCAATTACGATCCTCCACCAGAGGACAACAACAGGTAACTAAAATGTGTATAGAGGGGATAGCAGAGAATACTATGACTGATTGTAGGTGAGAAGCAAATCATGTCTGCTGTTGCTCTTATCATTTTTAGTGGCGGAGAAAGGAAGCTTGAAAAAAGCTACTTTTTTTTGGGCAACGGAATGCGAAACTTTTCAGCAGACGAGCATCGAGTAAAGGGGAGGTCGGGCGAGACAGCATCGACCATAATAATTGGCAGAGTAGAGTGAAGCACAGAGCAACTTTCTAAGTTTTAGTAGGGACCTCGAAGCATCTTGACGGATGCGGTCGTGCAAGTAGAAATAAGCTGAGAAGGCCCGCACCGGCGATATAGTCTAAGCAGAACTCTTAGCAAGAGGCAACGGAGGGG